TTTTGGCTGGTATAGACATCAGGTTGTTTCAATCAGAAAGTTGTGTGCTTAAACTTATCAGGTTAAACTAATAGTTATATTTCATTAATTTCACCCATTTCACTGGTCAACTCCAGGGTCCCAGTCTGCACCCCTGGGCACCCCATGGCATTAGGATAACATAACACATTGATGGTCCTTTTCTGTCTTACTGTTTTTCACTGTCCAAATTTGATAAAATCACGACAAATATGCTTGCTGTTTCAGTGATTAAGCATTACACGCCAGTTACTCGTGCGAAAAATCTGAGTTTCGAAACCTAAGCCGTGGTGAAATGGATTTTGAACTAAACAGCAGGGTCGCCTATAGCAGCTGATTACTCTCAGCCGAGGGGTGGGGGGGAGGCAGGGAACTGCATTCAGACGGGACCAAGCGACGTCCCGTCTGGGGATCCCAAACGCGTCTGGCGGGGGGCACAGTGGGTGGAACTAGGATGTTAGGAGCGGCCTCGGGGAACCGAGCTCCCGGCCTGTGGGCCGACACGTATTTGAGATGCCCAAAAAGCACGCCAGTGCCAACGCCTGCTCGAGTTCGCTGAAGACCAATCCTAAGAAGGTATATTCTGTTCACTTTTGTCTCTAGTTGTTGGTCATTTGATTGAAATCAGTTTTCCAAGGATAAATGTATATCATGCCTTTAGGTAACTGCAAAACCCAGGTATCCTTGAGACATAGCTCACTCCGACACTAGCCCTGAATGAGTGACGAGAGGCACTTATAAAATTAATAACAGTGATATTGTGCATGTAATGTATGGATATTATTTAGCCTTTAATGGAACACAGAGCATTCCTGGCCCAGAGTAGGCATTTGATATTGTATTTGTTGAATAAATGGCAAAAGATAAGTAATGTAATTAAATCATATGTGAACACGTCTTTTTGTTTAAAAAAAAAAAAAAGTCATTTCTTAGTTGAGAAACATTTTATTTTTTTATTGATTTTTAGAGAGGAAGGGAGAGAGAGAGAGAAATATCAATTGACTGCCTCACCCACACCTCCTACCAGGGATGGAGCCCACAGCCCAGGCCTGTGCCCTGACCAGGAATCAAACTGGCAGCCTTCTGGTGTGCGGGGCGACGCCCAGCCAGCTGAGCCACACGGCCGGGCAGGGAAACATTCTCTACTTCTAACTATTCTCAGTCTGTCGCACACACTGACACAAACACACCCATATCCACGTACATGGGTTTCAGATTATACTGAGTTCTATATATACACACACATATATATTGCATTCAGGGTATTTGTAGATATATGTAATTAATTATATGCATTGCATTCAGTATAAACCTGAAATCCTTTTCTCTTTTAACTTATTACCACTTGGATACCAAAGTAATTACTTTCCCTGCCATTATTGTCACCAATCAGATAAGGAAAATAGTGTTGAACCCTTTTTTCTGTGCTATACGCCACTGCTATTAGCCAGCTCACTGCCATTCCCATAGAAATCATGCCATTTAAGCTGGAAAATATCATTTCCTGCTTCTACTCAAGACAAGAACTCTTTTCTACTTAGTAATACGCTCAATTACCTTTGGATTGATCCGTGAATAAATTATAATCCAGATAGACTTCTTTACCTTAAAGCTTTGCTGGCTTAAGGTATCATTGTTGATTCATTAGGTTGTCACTTCTCTGTTGGCACCGTAAAGCTCTTTATACCTGGACAGAGACCGTTTTAGCGCGAGGTACCGTTCTCTCTAAATGAGCGGGATTTAGCTCTTCTGGTGAGAACAAATTCATCAGCGATGAGTCCCCAGAGCAACTGTGGAAACAAAAGTCACACCACCTCTGAGCCCTGCTCCGCACGTCAGTTACAAAGTAGCTTTTGATAATTCTAAGGAACTCTTTTCTTTGTTTAAAATATACCGCATGGCGCCAAACCTCTCGCTGGTGTTACCTCGGGATACAGCGTTTCCTGTCGGAAAATAACGAATGAAGGGATCGCGCCTGCTGCTGGCCGGCGGGCGGCTGCCGCGCTTCCTGCGACAGGACATCGATTAGCTCTGCGCTCGGGCAGAGGGGAGCCGAGCGCGTGATTAGCCAGCTCGGCGCGCTCGGCGGCCAGCACGCGTCCATCTGCGCCGTCTCCTAGTTTTCTCTGGCTTGGGTTTGTTTCTTCGGCAGGATCGGGCCACAAACACGTGCCTGAAGGGAGTCGGTGGATAGGTGATTCTTTGGTGCAGGGGAGACTGATCTTTTCTATTTTTTGGAAAACGTAACTTTTAAAAGTGCTCAGTACTCATATATCCTGGAGACATTTTAATACGTACAATGTAATTTTTAAAAATATTTTTATTGATTTTTAGAGCAGAAGGGAGGAGAGAGAGAGAAACATTGATTGGCTGCCTCCTGCACGCCCTCTATTGGGGATCAAGCTCGAAACCGGGGCGCGCGCCCTGACCGGGACCTGAGCTGGTGACCGCCTGGTGCACAGGCTGACGCCCAACCGAGCCACACCAGCCAGGGCTATAATTTTTCTTTTTAAAAAAAAGCATTTAACTTTTTTATTAATGCAGAAAACAAAATGCCCCTGGCAGCCTTGAAGTGTTGGAAACTACCTTGGCCTCGGCACCTCCATACAACAGTGAGAACCACGCACACGTGGGCCCCGGGTCATTGGAGATGAAGGCCAGGAGCTTGGGAGGGGTGTCCCTCACATTTTGTGGGGGCGTGCTTTTAATTTAAAGAAAAATTTGGCAACAGTTTTTCTTCTTTTCCATTGACTCTTCTAGCCAACCCACAAAGCAAATTCTATAGGAGTCTTCATTAAATCAGGCACCTCTCCTTAGGACTAATTATTAAAAAACAGCACATTTTAGAATCAGCACCATTAGCCATGGCGAGGCTGCATCATTTAAATACGGCAAATGTGGTCGACCACTGCAGAGAGTTACAGGAAATGCCAGCTGGTGGATGTTTACTGAGGTGGTCGTCTATTCCGCACCAAGGATTTTCAATTATTATTTTTTAATATTTTAATAATATATTTAATAATGTAACTAATTATATTATTATAATTATATTAATAATTATTATTATGGGGGGGTCTCCTCTGGTCTGTGCTTAAAAGGGGATGAATCAGGACGTTCCAGGAACGACTTCCTATGAGTAACGTACGGAGCTCTCAGTGGGATTAGATGGTGTCGAGTGAGGCGAGACCCAGTCAGGGAGTCGGGGCAGGTTCCCCTGGACCTTGCGCATGAGGGGCCTCCTGGGAGCAGAACAAAGGTGCTGCTGTGTCAACACCTAACGTTCGTGATCACCCTCAAGAATAGGAGATTGGGAGTAAGGTGCACTTTGGCCTCCCTGGAGCCTGCTTTAAGCTCGGTCTCCCCTCCCTGAGACGGCCAGAGAACACGCTTTCCTCGGGCCCGGGCCCTCCGGCAGGTGGAGGCCAGTGTCCTGAAATACGTGTGATTTTTTTCACCGGCGCACAGGCTGGGTCAGGGAGCAGGACGACCTTGGAGAGCCGTAGTTTTCCAAGCCTCCATCAGCTAGGTCAGCGATTTTCTACCTTTTCCATCTGATGGCACATAAACCAATTACTAAAACGCTGCAGCACATCCAAAATATATATTTTTTGCTGATCTGACAAAAGTATGATTTCAATTGATTTACAAAAAAATAATAATAGTAATTACCTACGCTTTTTACTTCAAAGTGACTTTTTAAAAAATTAGGTGCCTATACTTGTGTAAGGATTTCTGGTACCAAGAATTAACCAATTAGACGCGACCTTAGTATGTGACGTGACCAGCAAGATGCAGCTCTATTGTGTGACTGTGTTTTTATGGCTCAAGACGGACTCACACTGGACGGCTACTCTTGTGCTGGCTGGTGCATTTTTTTATTGGACCATCTCAGGGAAGAGAGGTCAGTGCCCCTGACTAAATAGTCAGGTGTTGCACGTTTTAAAAATTCTTGCACACACCGGTGGAAGTCGCTGAGCTGCATAAAGGCCTCTGTCCTGCAGGAGCCGGGGAGAGAGGGAGCCACGCGGTCCTAGGACGGAGAGCCAGCGGCTCGGGCCGGCGGGCGGGGAGCCTGGGGGTCGGGGGGTCGCAGCCCCAGCCGTGTGTCTGGAAAGGAAGGGAAAGCGCCCCGGGAGGGGGCAGAGCGCGGAAATCGCTGGGCCGTGACGAACCGTCCGAGGGCATTCTCCCTCTAACCCGAAACACTTATGTTTTTCCGTGACACCAGGTATCTCTGTAAATGCACTTTGTGAAGTACAGAGGAGCAGCCTTGAGATTTAGAGCCCGGTGGTACGGTTCTGCGTACGGATGGGTTTGCTTTACACACTCAGACGTCGCCTCTGCTTTTTCCTGTCTGTTTGGCCCCCTTCATGCAAAATAAAATTTACTTTCTGTACAGAGAAATCAATATCGTTACCATTTTGTGTTCAGCGATTCCAGTAAATTGCGATCAACGTCCGTTGCCACCTTGAAAGAGATGTCGTAAGGATTTGAGCACCGTGAAATCGAGCCCCAGGTTAGAGCTTGGGCACAGCACCTGGGGTATTGACAGGAGAGTTTGTCAGGGGCCGTGGCCGCGTCTGTGTTGTGCTAGAAACCTGATGAGCAGGGAGGAAAACATCGACGGGTCTCACCTTCCGTCTGCGCAGACCAAACAAACGGTCCAATTAATAGCGATTGTTTGAAGTGGGTGGATTTGGTTCACCACCGCGAGCTCTACTCCATCTAGAAATGTATTTTAATGAACGGTTCTGTATCTAAGGCATACGTGTTTGGTAAGAGTACGGTGCCCTTGTGTTCTTTCTAATAATTAACAGAATCTGGGACCTGGCAGCCCGTGATCCGGGAATGGGGACCACGTCACAGTCCACACGCAACAATTGCAAGCGCACAGTTGCGTGTGGATGATATTTATGATATGTCCTCACACCTTTCTCCTTGATGAGCTCACACGCTTTCCCATTTGTGTGTTTTCCTTACAGAAACTGCCAAGTTTTGGACCTTACCTTGAGCAACGCAAGAAAATCATAGCTGAGAACAAGCTTAAACTGAAAGGAGGAAATGAAGCCTGTCTGCCCCTCAAGAGACAGCTGTTTATCCCCAAAAAGCCTATTCCCACCATCAAGGTAAAAATGAAGCCATGTAACAACATGCCTGTTTTACTGTTTAAACATACGATGTAGCGTAAGAGTTTACTTACTGTTAGAATGTATCCCCTCCGTCTGGATCGTCCAACAGAGCACAGGGGCCCTCGGACCCAAACTAAGCCCCTTGTCACTCCTTCGAGCCCCCAAGTCCTGTGTCTCCGTGAGCAGCACCTGAGCCACCCTCTTTCCTAAGCCAGGGACCTGACATCAGCCCGGACCCCTTCCTCTTACCCGTCCCACTCATGAGTTGGCCCCCGGTCTCTGGTTTTCGCCCCTCGGGCTCCTCCTCTCCTGCCCTCCTCGGTCTGCAGCGGCCTTAACAGCTCCTCACGCAGCCCCCGCTGGAGCTCAGAGGCCTCCTCCCCTCCCCCCAAGTTCATTCGAATCTGATGCAGGAGGGGAAGAGATACCGGGTAACGTCAAAAGGCCCCAACCCCATGGTTTTAAATAAAATGGTGTGTGGGGAAGGATTATACACCCCCTAGCTCTATTCCAGTGGGAGGAGCCGTGGCTACTGTCATTCGCATGCGGGTCCCCAGCCCCTTCACCCGTTAGTCCAGACCCCACTGGTTTACAGCACGTTCTCGTTAACAGTCGTTTTCTCAGTGCACGTGACTCAGATGTGGCTCCCTGAGCTCCTGGTTTATTCTAGAATGTTCTCTGGGCATGGGTGTCCTTTCCTTCGCTGCTTCGGCACTGCTTTTGTGTTTTCCCTGCGGAGTTTCCTCTGTTCTTGACATACCACTTTCCTTCCCCCCTTCCTCCTGGAAACTGGGTTATCTGTCTCCAGGCTCCTGTTTTCCCTCCACCCACGTGTTTATTTGAGCTGTTTCCTCCCTGCACCCGGCTGGCCTCTGCAGATTCCTCTGTCCAGTAGTTTCAGCTCCACGCTGCTTTGTCCTCCAGGCCAGCAGGGGGCGCCATGGCCCCCGCTCCCACCAAGCTAACTGAGCCCCTCTTGTCCCAGCAAGTGTTTCACGCATTCGAGTTTCTAACCTACCGTGTCTCCCCCGGTTGTGAGTGTGACCATGTTGTTTCTAAGCCAGCCACACTCAATAGATCTCTCCTTTTTTATTCATTTTCCTCTCAAATGCCTCAGGAGTAGGCCGTTTCGATGTCATCAACCAGTGAGTATTTACTGAGTGTTGGCTGTGAGGCCAGCAGTGCACTAAGCGTGGGCTCTGTGTCCAGAGACAGACGGGCGTGGTCCATGGCTCGGGGGGGCCCCCATCTCGGCAGAGACATGGCACCAACTCCTATTTATTTAGTATGCGCTTGCTGCAGCCCCGGCATGGTGCTGGACCTAGGCATACAGCATGAATTTTAAAAAGAAAAAAAATCTATCCTTATGGAGCTTGTGGTGTAACGAGGGAGGAAGACACATGTTAAAACTATTTACAGTTCAATCAAATATGTACAAAATGCTCGGGGAACACGGAGGAGTGGAAGGGATTAGTTCTGCCTCGGCTAATTGTGGGAAGCTTCCCAGAGATGTGATATTTAGCATGGAGTTTAATAAATTAGTGTTAATTAAGCAGAGAATTAATAATAAAAGCTAATATTTATGGAGTCCTTATGAGGTCTCAGGCACTGTTTCCACGCCTGTGAATTAACTCATTGAATCCTCACGATAACCTTATCAGTAGCAGGTACCTGTGTTTTTCCCTGTTTTACTGATTAAGTCATGGACAAACAGAGAGGTTAAATAATGCGCCCAAGATCACACAGCTGTTTCAAAGCAGAGAATCAGAGATGTTATTCCAAAGTCTGGCTCCAGAACTCGGGCCCTTAAGCACCAACCACCCTTCACCGCCTCTCACAGGAGGAAAATAAAGGAAGGTAGTGTTTCAAGTAAGTTAGTGTGTTTGAAAGCATCGTGCTCATACTTACGTGGGGTAACCCGCCGCCACGGGCCTTAAACCCAACACACAGCCCCTGGACCAACCAGGTGGGGGCGTCACACTGGGAACCTCACTCTTTGTTCAGTAGGAATTCATAGAAAGGATAGACCCCACAGGCAATAATGAAATAATCTGGTTTTCTTGATTTTTTTTTAAAAATGTTTTTATTGATTTTAGAGAGAGAGGAAGGGAGAGAAATTGAGAGATATAAGTATCAGTGAGGGAAAAACATCGATCGACTGCCTCCTGCACATGCCCGACTGGGGATCGAGCCCGCAGTCCGAGCATGTGCCCTGAGCTGGAATCCGACAGGTGACCTCTTGGTTCATGGGCTGGTCATCGCTCAACCATTCATTCAGCCATCTAAAAGGGGTTAAACTTTTAGATAACTCAGTATTCACTGGTCATATGAGGAAATACAGATCATAAGCTACCAATGAAGACCTCAAAGACTGTCAAGATTTAAAAATGCCTCGTGTCGAAGCTGAAGTTATGTGACTTTGGAGAAAATATTAGGTAAAATGGAAATTTATTTTGTCTATTAAAAGTAAAATAGAGAGAGAGAGAAAGTACACCCACCACTTAGAACAGATGGGATCTTACAACCGGAGAGAACTGTTCAGTGTTTATTTTTCTAGCCTCCCCACAGAGAATGTCCTTAGAGCTAAAATGGGAGAAACATGTCTGAGAGTTGAAGCCTAATAGGCGATTGGAGTATTTTCAACTTGTGATTGCTGACGGGCTGTAGCAGGTGGCAGTAATGAGCGTAGGTTCCCTAACCCCACAGGTGTGTCCAGGGGGCCTCAACTAGCCTTACGTGCTTTACAGGTCACACCTGCCCCTCGGGAACTCCAAAGTCAGCACGTGGACGACCCCGGGCATCTGTAAGCTGCGGCACTACCTGGAAGCACTGGGTTTTCAACAATGTCCACATTTCCAGCCACATAGAATGATGATTTATTTTCTTTGATATTCGTTCCCAAAATAATTTGTCATCCTTTGACCTTCCAGAGAGCAGAAATGGGGGCAAAAGTAAAAGAAAGGGCAGCCAAGGTCATTGAAACAGGAGCCGAAAATAAAATACCGAAGAGAACCGAGGAAGATGCTTAGAGCCAGGGCCAGGCCTCCTGGAGCGGGGACCTTGAATTGCAACAAAAGAGCCTCTTGTTATAAGTTAGACACAAAGGCGGAAAATCTTGACAGTGTACTAATTTGACAAACGTTGTTGCATTCTCCCGTTTTGTTTTATGAAACAAAATGTTTCTCATTGTTGGTGAAACATCCCTGCCTCACATATTAAGCTTTTAGCCGACGTGGGGGGCAAAGCGACGGGCACCGCCCGCGAGCCTCCCGCGGTGAGTGAAGAGCTTCCTCGCCCTCAGAAAGTGAAGGAGCGTCTTATCTACGAGAGGGGCCTGATCGATTACCATAAATTAGAATTTTTAAATAAAGTCTTCAAGACCCGACAGGCGGGCGTGCGGATGAAAACCGAGACTCCAAACGCTGTGCCGTGAATGCGTGGCACCCATGCGTTACCCCCTTCATTCCTCGCGAGCTGATATTCTAGTAGGCGTGTGTCCCCCTTCGTTGTTGTTTTATTCATTTTGGATCCTTCAAGGCCCAGAATTTTAAACAGCTAAGCCACCACCTTTGTCCACAGTTCAGATGACCTAGCGGAGAACCTATTGAATGCAGCTAATCGGGTCTGGAGTTTCCAAGCGAAGTATATACAAGGTGTCCCCCAAAAATGTACACACACTTTACAGCTGACAGCTCAACTGCTGTTTCTGTCTTCTCAGGTTTAACCCATTGGGGTTTAAGTTATTCTGAGTGTGCCTGCGTTTCTGGGACACCCTGTGCGTGGCCCACCTTTCAGAAGACAGAAGTATTTAAGCTACCGTTGTGGGGGTCTCCCCATGAGCAGCCACAGCCATCGAAGCCCCTGAGTTGCTTAATGCGGCGTCACATGAAAACGGGGGTGTCTGGGCCAATATCGGCGATTAGGGGGTGACGTTTCATAGCGGGCGCCGTAATTTGGTGCTTGTCTTTCAGGACGTCATTGGGAAGACGCTGCAGCACCTGGGGGCCTTCGGCGACCTGAGCACCGTGGAGCAGGTGGTGGCCACGATCGACGAGGAGATGTGCATCAACTGCGGCAAGTGCTACATGACCTGCAACGACTCCGGCTACCAGGTAAGGACTCCACCCGAAAACCTGCGCCTGGCGTTCGGAGTCCAGACAAGTGCTTCACCTCCTCGGGCAGCGGGCACCCCTCCCGTCCAGGTCGGGCTGCAGAGGGGCCCGAGCCCGGCTCAGACAAGGGACGGAGGGAAACCAGGTCACTGCACAGCGCAGGAAGAACTCTCCCAGGCAATGTTAACCGTTCTGATTCCAACGGAAAAGCATTTCTTTTCTGCCCTTTCCCCCTCCTCTCTGCCAGTTCAACTGGTGCTGTAGCTGCCCCAGCGCTGGGCGCAGTTGTCCCCACATCCAGCTCACTGCAGAGGAAGAGAGGACCGGGACGTCCTTGACCTCGGTGGGCTGTGACGGCCCCGCTGTCCTTTCCGTTTCAGGCCATCCAGTTTCACCCCGAGACGCACCTGCCCAGCGTGACGGACGGCTGCACCGGCTGCACCCTGTGTCTCAGCGTCTGCCCCATAATCGACTGCATCCGGATGGTCGCCAGGACCACCCCGTATGAACCGAAGAGGGGCGTGCCCTTAACCGTGAACCCCGTGTGCTAAGGTGATTTGTGAAACCACCTGTGACCTTCAAGGTCACCCACAAATGCTGATCTTTCTCGTGATCATTTGACTCAGCTCTTTCAAAATGAAAACAGATACATAATGTCTTGATAAAAATCTAGTCTCTAAGTAAATTTCGAAATTATAAAAAAAAAAGCCTGCTACCAGGGACCACTCAATTAATGGTCATAACATAAAATAATTCTCCGAGGAGAGTTGTTAAATAGCTGTGTGGCCGTTAATTGGATGTTCACCATCAGCTGTTCATTGTGCAAAGTATTAATGTTTTGTGGCAATTAATGCAACAGTTTCCAAATTGCCCGATGCTGTGCTCTGGCTTTGATTTCTAATTGTAAACGAAATTAAGTATTTCAGACCAAAGCACAATTTAACATATAAGAAAATGTTTCCAAGGAAACATTTTATAATTAAAAATTACACTTAATTTTAACCCTGTTTCTAAGCAAACATAATTAGCTACAGAAAGCACAGAAGAAGAAAGTCAAATAATTGTTTTACTGTGGCTGGAGGAAAAAAAATATCCAAAGGGGGTTTGTACAACATTGTAAAGGCCCCTTTGCTAAAATAGCTTCCTTTGGGGGCTGGATACTAGACGTGAGAGTATTTTAACCATTCCTGTCAGTCTGCCACCCGCCACTCGGGCCTGAGACGTGTCCAGACCCCTCCAGTGAACCAACATGACACCCTTCTTTAAAACTTAAACTACGCTCCTAACAAAACGCGGCGTTAGGATGGCCCCCTGGTGAAAGCCGCGCTCACGGGGCACAGATCTGCTCCGCCCGATTTTAATAATACCCTGCACTAGGGCAACTGCCGCCTGAGCTACACCCGGTGAGGCAGCCTGGGCTTGGCTGCTCGAGACTGAAAAACCCGGCGCTGGCAATATGTGTCCAACGGGCGAGACAGGTCCGCTGCCCTCCATTCTCGTGTCTACGTTACATTTCAGAAGCCATGGAATAAAAAAGCAATATATTTTTCTGCAATTGCCAAACAATATTTTTGCATTTCTCTATTTTCATAATCAGCAAATGACACCCTATAATTCATATATCTCTTTATTTGTAGCCTCTTTTCATAGGAACTCATAAGTAGTCAATCTTTAAGTAACCACACGTGGCATATTTCTGTGACAAATGCGAGGCCTAGAAAAATAAAATGTTTGATGATGCACTTTTTTAGAAATGAACATTTAGCACAGAATCTATATGACTGAATAATATCAAATAAAATTTCATAAAGCATTTTAACGCACTTGTCGGTCTTTCGCTGCCTCCTTTGCGAATACGGTCACATGTGGACCGTTTAGACCCTGAGGTGGAGCAGTTCCGGGTGAACCCCACGGTTCGTCCCATCCAGACGTGTGTGGTGCTGGTGGAAATCTAAGGGGGGCAGTGATCCTGTCGCTGTGGAAATGTCCCACCTCCTGTCCCTCTGACCCGGGTTTCCCTATTGGGTTCAGTTCTAATTCGGCCAAAATGTGTCTCCTATGGGTACCGGCCAGGCTCCTTGGGGAGGCCCCGAGATTCGAGGGGATGGTAGCCTACCATCCACGGTGCCACCTTCACCCTAGGAAACATCCGTGCCATTGACCATTGCTGCTTCGAAGTGGTGGGACACTGAGGACTCGCTTTTGCCACCATGGGGGCATCTTACCTTTTGAATGAGTTTGACTCTGGGGGTTCATTGTCCTTTGGGAATTTTATGAAAAGACGTCCGGGCATATGTGTCCCAAGTCCTCTGCAGCACGCTGCCTGCCAGGCAGAAATTCCCTCGTGGACACTAAAGAGAAAGTGGTCTCTGACTTGGCACCCTCCTCTGAGAAAGCGGGGACCGGGGCTTCAGCTCTGCTCCGGAACCTCTCTGGGGAGCTGCGGGTGACCAGGGCTTCGGTTAGGCCGCCATCGTGATTTCACAGTGCTTTGCCCTCGCACACGTTTCGTTCTGCGTGTCTACTTTCTCCTTTACACTAAGACGGCTTTCTTATCCGTGTTGTCTGTAGGAAACATAAGTGAACTTTAGAGAGACTCAGACTAGAGGGGGAAGGAAAACCAAGCCACCCAGCGTGACCACAGGCCCCAGGCCCTAGCACTCACAGGCTCATGAATGAAGACATAGCACCAGACCGAGGAGGCCGGTTAGTGAGTGTTTCCTGTGTCTACAAATCTGTACTCAGTGTCTTCTGTGTCAGCTTGGCTGGGCCACAGTTCCCAGGTACTTGCCCAAGCATTATTCTAGATGTTTTTCTGAGGGAGGTTGTGGATGAGATTCACATTTAAGTTGGTAGACTTGGAGTAAAGCAGGTTGCCCTCCACAATGTGGGTGGGCCTCGACCAATCAGTTGAAGGCCTAACTAAAACTAAAGGCTGACCTCCCCTTAGCAAGAGGGAATTCTCCTGCCTATGGCAAAAATTTGGACCAGATCATTAATGATCCTGGGAGGTTCATGTCATGTAGCTCACTCTTTTGTTAATTAATATGTAATATTCATTAATATGGTGCCTCTTTTATTAATGAATACAGATCGTATGCTTAAAGTTTTGAAATTACAGGTGACATCTTTAAATTGAGTGGTTCCATTCGAGTTGGAAATAAGCACATCTGACAGTCCCTTTGCTGGTGTGAGCCTGTCATTACCTGGCCTAGAGTGTTTCTAAGCTCTGGATCGGTTTCACTGCATAACCTACACAATATATTTCATTGTATCCATATTTACTGTTCTTCTAAGATGCCCCATAAACTGCTGGCTCATAAAGAAGCCAAGTTACTTTGGGGCTGTAACTGGCCTAGAGAGCGAGCCCATCGGCTGGTGCGTCTGTGCAGCTGCTGGTTTACAGAATGCGCAGTGTTTTTCCACAACCTGTTCTGCAGACAGCAAGCCCCGCCTGCTCGCTGCTGCCTCCCTGTCTCTGCCTTTATTTCACCACGACTGATGAAATCACGGCGATAGACTCCGGGCAGGTTCCAAAGGTCTGCCTCAGTCAACATGCAGGTCAAGACCTCCTCTCCCACCAGCAATTTCCTCCTATGTGTTTCTATGGAGAAGAAGATCTTCCTGCCTGTTAACAGCAGGAAGCTTATTTACCTCCCCTGGCCTTCGGTGGTTTCCTTCCTCGCGGAATCTAGGTATTATATATATATGCAGGATGTCCCCAGAAATGTATACACACCTTGAATAATTAAAAAGGCCGTGTTTATGGAAATACATTTCACTTTCAGAATGTCATAGGACCAGCTGTTAAAGTGTGTATACATTTTTGGGACACCCCGAATACAGATGCACACGCACACACACGCACACGCGAGCACACGCGAGCGTGCATGAACACACAGGCCTGTCGGCATCTAACGTGACTAAAAAGGTTGAGTCTGAGTATTTTTCTTGGTAAGAATCTGAGTGGAAGATAAGAACCTTTCCATGCAATTCATGTCCTTAGGCAGGAAGCTCAAAAAGGCTCATGTTCTGTTTTAAAAGAGCCTCTCCTGGGGGAAGGGTCGTGATCGAGGTTCCCCGACGGCCGTGGTGCTAAGATCTTTCCACGTGCGTGTCAGGTATCGCGACACCTCCTTTGGAGACCAGGCTGTTCTGCCCTCTGCTCGGTTTTAGTGGGACTGTTTGCCTCCCTCTGCGTTGTAGACGGTCTCACACAGTCTGTGTATTTACTGGGATCAGCAAGAATGTTTCCTGTCTACAGGCTCCTTTTCACTTTCTTCAGAGTCCTTTGAAGCCCAGAGGTTTTCAATTCTGACCATGTCCAACATGTTTATTTTTTATTCCGTTGCTTACATTTTGATGTAATAGCTAAGAGATGATTGCCTAAGCCAAGTCACCAAATGTACACGTTTTCTTCTGAAATTTTTACCTTTCTAGCTTTACATGTAGGTTTTTGATGTTTACATTTTGCGTTAACTTTTTAGATGGTTTAAGGCAGGGGTCCAACTCCATTCTGAAAAGGCCATTCTTTCCCCGTAGTACAATTTTGAATGCCATGCTTTGCTACCTGGCCTCCCACCCGAGGGACTCATAGTGCGATGGTGCAGACTGGGGGGTACCCCGGGAAACCACAGCACAACACGGCCACACGGGAGCCCGGCAGAGCTGGGAACTTCCTTCCTAGGTTCCCAGGCGGAGCCCCGACGTGGATCGGGGTTACCACAGGCAGCGTTCCCCTCCCCCGGCGAGACACAGTCAAAGCGACCCCGCAGCGCGCCGGCTTCCGAGGGCCCCGCTTCCTCCCCGGGTGCGGCACCGTCAGTGACCGGGAATGAAGGCGACGGGGCCTCCTGTTCGTGCAGAAGAGAATCTCAGCCTGATAAGAGCTAAGAGACTAAGGCAGGTCTCCCCTGAATACGCCTCCCGTTGCCTTGACTGACGTCACCCTGGCCGTGCTGGGAGCGGCGCACTAGTTTTATTTCATTTTATTTTAATTTACTTACTGTTTAAATTATAGCTGACACACAGTGTCATCGTCTCAGGTGTGCCACACGGTGGGCGCAAAGTTCCATTCCTTACGCGGTGATCACGCCGGTAAGACTAGACCCGCCTGACACCGCCCGCGGTCATCACGATGCTATCGACTGCATTCCGGGTGCTGGGCTGTACACCCCTGGGGCTTATTTACCTCATAACCGGCCGTTCGTGCCTCTCCTCTCCTTTCATTTATACCCACACCCCTCCCCCTCCCCCTGGGGACCATCCGTTCAGTCTCTGCATCTGTGAGTTTATGTTTTGCCGGTTGGCTTGTTTTGTCTCATGGATTCCACATCTAAGTGAAGTCATACGGTCCCTTAGTTTTCAACAGAAAGCCACCCCATGGCCTGTCCTCACCTTCTGCCTTGTCCTGTGTCCTGGATCCGGTCGCAGGCTTTTGGGCGGACGCTGCTGAGGCCACCAAGCTCGATGAGCAGGAAGGCCCCGCCCGCCTGCCCCGACGTCCGTCCCGGTGTCTCAGAGGCTGAAGGACTAGAGATCCACGGGCTCTGCAGCCTCGGCCTCCTGTTTGATTCTCCTAAGATGATGGAGGAAACTTGGACATGATTCCTCCAAACTCTGCCATTTTCCTCTCAATTACAACCGGTGAGCAGTGCGCTGAGCCCTTGCCTGCCCTTCACCCGCCCGCACGTTCCTGGGTGTGCACCAGGGCCTCTGCGCCGAGCCCCGTGACTGCCCCTCTCCAGTGACAGAGACTGCCTGCGAGTAATTTTCATTCCATGAGTAACATGGAGGTTGGTGAATCCTCTAGAATTTTACCCGTAAAAGTCTAAAATACTCTCCTGCTCCATAAAGAATGAAACGGGGGCTGGTACTGGCGTTCGTGGGCATCACGGCTTTGCTGCGGGCCCGGGGAAGGCGCGGGGCCCCCAGCATCTGGCTACCTGGCAGGCTCCAGACTGCAGACCTGCTCCGCGTAATTAGCCTGTTCAGAGGCCACCGGGGTGGCTCGACTGCACCATCAGGCGTCTTCCTTTCCGAAGACATGCTGTGCGTCTCCCTTTGGGGCCACGGTCGTTAGTCAGTCTTGTTAGTCAGGGGCCCTCGCTTCTTCAACGCACCCGCAGCTCTCAGGGCCTCCGGAGCCATCTCATTACCAAGCGCCCTACCGACCAAAGTGGGGGTGTTTCTATCTGATGAAGCTGTCATTGAATTAACAGGCCTCGCTGGAAGGAAACTGCAGGCTGGGGCTCCCTAGCAGAACAGAGTCTCAGGAAAACTCATCCAAACAATCGCAAGGGTCCTCGGAGAGAACACTGCAGGCGGGGTGAGTTGTGGAGACGCTGCTCCCATGGGTGGAGGTGCTGAACTACCCGCCTCGTGTGGATCAAACCGTGCCCATGGGGACTTTAACCTGAGCTGAGGGCCCGGGACCTCACAGGCCTGTAGCAGGGCCACGCC